CCTGTGCCATAATATAATTCTCTGTCCGCGCATTTCCGGGAGTGCGAGCATTCGGACCGGCAAGCAGGCAAGTTCATGTGGTGTTCGTATATATGCTACACTGTCTCCTCTGACCGCCCAGCTCCGAAAATCCGGGGCACTGTCCAGAATACCCCACCGCGTCTACAAGTTATCACACTGTACTGCCCGGGCTTCTTGGTAGTCCCTCACCGCGCATTCCCGACAATGCCGGGCCTCATGAGATATTACGGCGCTCGATCGTCATCGTGGCGTGCTAGGGTGATACCCAAAATACCGGGCAATCCTTGCGATATATTCCCAGTATTGCCCGGTATTTCTCGACGTGGCCTTGTAGTACAACCCATCCAGTGTCCTTGCGCTGGAAGGAGATCCTGACAAGGTGCGGGCAATGTTTTTGACGTGTCGCACGGTATCCTCACGATTGCCCGAGCCAGCATGGGAGGGTAATGTACGACAAGACTTATACACTTTTGCTGATGCACATATTACCATCCAAGCGTCACGATCTCGATAGTTTTCCGAGGGACTGCGGTTGTCACCTTGCTTTCCCCAGCGTTCTCGGTGCATTTCGAACGGGTTCTCACTGGGAGCTTGAATCCTGGGCATTACCAGAAAGATTTTGGAAGCGGGCTTTTCGGCAAGAAGCAAGGAGGAAAAATACATACATTATGATTGAGCGCCTCGGGCATCGTGCTAGCGAACAGCTGGGTGAGGGCGCCACACGACACAGGGTAGAGCACAATGGTATCCTGACGTGAGTGAGAATGAGCTGCGATCAGGGGAAATGTCACTCAAGTTATCAGTCTCCGCACTAGGATCTTCCGTTGTAATGATGGCACATAACGTTGCAGTTCGGTCTTGATATTTCCTGCGTAGGGAGCTGTCTTTATCCAGATGCTAGACCTGTGATGCCGGAAACGTACCTGGGTTCAAGGAGAAAGAGATGATGCCCTTGTCTGCATAGCGATTGGCGAATTGGCGCGCCACGACGATGTTTGTCTGGTGGCGGCGTGTGCGGTCAGTACCCAACATCATCTTGATTGCAGGAAGGGGACTGAAAGCAACTGAAAGGAATCACTGACGTGCTTGGTTTGGTAATATAGCGCTTCCTTCGAGCTTCCTCCTCTCAGGCCCATCCCTGACTGTCTCCACATTCGTTCCCCACTGCAGATCGGAGCCATCCTTCGTGAGTTCGTCCAAAGGTAGCCACGTGACACCACTATGAAAGATGCCCGGCGTAGGGATTGGTCGATGCAACGCGCATCTCGGAAACGTATACTCACGCGTTGTTGAAAAAGTATATGGAGTTCGCTTTCCTTGCCTAGGACATCCGCCGCCGCCTGGTTGACAGATGCCTCACTCGCGAGATCGAGCTGCACGAAGATCGCCTCTTTACCAATCGATTCCTTCAAGGTGGCGATGGCAGCATCTGCCTTCGCTTTGCTTCGTGCGGCAAGATAGACTTTCGCATCATGCTTACGCAGAGCCTGCGTGAGACACGAGAGATTTACACTGACAAGCAGCTCACCTTGACAGTTTCGTACCCACAACCAGCGTTACCACCCGCAGTTATGATGTAGGTTCGCACATGCTCTGTCTACGTACCAGTCACGATAGTGACGCGTCCCGTCAGGTCCGGAATCTGGCCGACGCTGAACTTCGGCTTCGGGGGCTACAGCTGGGTGATCACGGGTAAAGCTGTCTGCTTGAAGTTGGAGTGAGCTGCCCCCATGGTGGTTACGGACCAAACCGGTACGGTAGAGCTGTCGTCAGACGACTGAGGGAGTCGGACTACGGTATCAAACAGACGAACCGACAGACACAGAGGTAAATGAATGAGTACTGTACGCATACTTACATGGACAAAAATCAAAAGTCACCGACGCGCATACATGCGGGAACTACCGAGTCGGATCAACTCGGAAACTCCGACAACTGCAAGCCTCCCGGCCAGACCGCGGCTCTGTTACAGAAACAATGCTTATATATATCATGAGTACACTGCACAAACAACATTCTCAAATGGCACAATTACTCGCCACACCATTTTTCCATCGCCGGTTAATCAACCGCTGAATACAAAGGTACATGTAGGTTGTGTTACCCACTCCTCTCCAGTCCCTCATTCCACGGCTCGTACTTCTCTGTGTCTTCCAATAATGACTGAGTCTTCGACCTCACTACACCAATAGCGTCCTTTCCCAGCGGGAAGTGAAGAGGGGGCTGTTCCAAGGCCGCGAGCTTGTAGACAACCTCCATTCCTTTCCTCGCATCACCCTTAGGGTGATACTGCTCCCAGATACCCCTGAGAACGTTCCCGGGAAGCTCCTTATTGCTATATGCGACATGGGCAGGTGCCCATGTGGTCTTTCTTAGGCCTGGAGTGTCAAACCCTCCTGGCTCGACGATCGTGATCTAACAATGACAACGTGAGTTCCACCTATCGCGGACGTATGTGTATACAATGTTTACCTTGATGTTCCAGGCTGGATCAATCTCATTCGCTGAAACCCTCCAGCGCTATCAATGGGGGATTTCGAACCGTCAGCGCCGCTAGACAAGGAACAGGTCAACGATGTGACTAGACATACCGAACTTGCTCGCTGAGTAGTATGCCAATGCTCCATGACCCCGCAGTCCTGTGATCGACGAGATCTGGAGAAGCCGTCCGCCCTCTCCAGCAGGGTTGACCTCACGGAAGAATTTCACAGCCTCGCGAGAGACGTTTGCTGCGCCCCAGAAATTCGTCTCAAACATCGCGCGCACATCTGCATCTGCTACGGCCTCGACTTCTCCAAACGTGCCTTGTCCAGCATTGTTCGCGACGACGTCGATACGGCCGAACTTCTCCTTAGCGGCAGCAAAGGCGTCGATAATCTCTTGCGGTTTGCTGACATCCAACTTGAGGATCAAGAGACGTTCAGCAGGATACTTTGCTGAGAGGTCGGACAGGAGCTCTGGACGGCGGGCAGTCGCAATGGCAGTGTCGCCCTTCTCAAGGACGATCTCGGCGAGTATACGGCCGAATCCGGTCGATGCGCCAGTGACTGTAGAACATGTCCGTATGGATTTTGGTGACCCGATGGAAAGAAGATACGTACTGAACCAGATAGCCATTGTGCTGTGTGGTCTGAACTGTCGATGGGACACTGCTGGGTCTGCTTGTGTAGCCTGCTTCCTCCTACGGTGCCTCGCGATCGTATTTATAACGTCCGCCTTTTCGGTTGAGATGGCCAAAAATGTCGCTCGTTTCGTATTCTTCTTGCTACCGCCACCACCTCCGACGTCATATCAGAAGCTCTGAGCTAGGCCCTTTGGTAAGCACTCAACCGGACTTACCGGGAAATACTACATCCAGGGAGAGAAGCACGTCAGTTACTTGACACTCTAAGCAGGTTGCACCTCCAGCTCGGGCCGGATGTGTAATCAGTTCCCTCAGCATTGAGATACGTGTGAGTGTTAGTTGGCTAAGCAAGTGAATCTGTTTTGAGTACTGAATTGAAAAGTCCTGCTCTTTGGGTTAGGCTCGGGCTTCTATCAACCGCAGGCCGGGCCGTGCTTCCAGCCTTGGCATCGCTCAAGCTCTAGTCGACTAGGTTCAACTTGCGCCCATAACCTCGTCTGACTCGAAGTTGTCTAGTCTATCTCCTCCCAAACCTACAAATCCCACGCTGTAGGCCAGCATGTCTGCCCTCGAATTACGCACTCCTGTCCAACCCTTCGTTCCACTACTCGTATTTCTCTGTGTCCGCCAATAGCGCTACAGTCTTCGCTCTCACTAAATTCACTGCATCCTTGCCAAATGGGAAGTGGAGAGGGGGCTTCTCCAAAGTCGCGAGCTTGTACACGACCTCCATCCCCTTTCGCGGATCACCTTTAAGCCGGGACTCCTTCAAGAGGCTTCTAAGGACGTCTCCGGGAAGCTCCTCCATACTGTATGCGGGATGGGCAGGTGCCCACGCTGTCTTCCCGATGCCTGGAGTGTCGAAACCTCCTGGCTCGATGATCGTTATCTATCATCATCGATGACAAGTTAAGTCCCTGTCACCACGGACGCATTCACATACCACGCTTATCTTATTATCTTGGGATTCCATGCGAGATCGAGTTCACTCGCAAGGCCTTCGCTAAATCCCTCCAATGCTAGCAATGGAGTATGTGAAGCCATCAGCGTCACTTGATTCGCAACGGTGCAATGATGTGATGAGGACATACCGAACTTGCTCGCTGAATAATATGCCATTGCTCCAAGGCCTTGCAATCCTGCGCCCGAACCCATCTGGAGAAGCCTTCCGCCTACTCCCATTGGGTTGACCTCGCAAAAGAACCTCACGGCCTCGCGCAAGACGTTCGCTGCTCCCCAGAAGTTCGTCTCCATCACGTCGTGCGCATCTGCATCCTCTATGGCTTCTTCTCCAAACGAACGTCGTCCAGCATTGTTCGCGACGACGTCAATGCGGCCGAACTTCTCCTTAGCGGCAGCAAAGGCGTCGATGATCTCTCGCGGTTTGCTGACGTCCAGCTTGAGGGTTGAGAGACGACTGGGGGGATAGTTTGCGATTGCGACCGCCCGCCGTCACGAAGTCTTGTCCGACCTCACCGCTGTGTCGCCCTTCTCAAAGATGATCTCGGTGAGTGCGCGATCGAGGCCAGTGGACGCGCCAGTGATGTGAAGCATGTCAAGACAACGTTCAGTATCGAATTGCACTCCAAAACGTACTGAGTCAGATAGCCATTGTGTGGTCTGAGCTGTCGATGGTGTGTTGTTGAGTATGCGTAGCCTACTCCCCGCGGCCTACGTCGTATTTATATGTATACCCTTTTACCCCCAGGTGACCTTGTCCGTTCTCCATTCTCCTTGATACTGCAACCCCCGTGTCGGATGCACCCGTTCGTAAGCCCTTTCCGTATTTACCGGTATATATACCTATGAGCAGGACTGCGCAGGTTGCTTGTCGCTTCCAGCAGCCTGCATGGACAGCTCAGCCTAATGCCCGATTCCCGATTCCAGTGAGTAAAGATTCGTTGCAACAGCCAGATGCATGATAATGAAACGCATCTGTCACGCCGCCTGTCCCCTACCCCTCCGGGGTGCTGCTTGTCTGCCATTCAACCACAGAGTCTGTCGACCCGTCCAAACACCGCCTTCGGGCTAAAGTTGCGTTGCGATGCGGCAGGGGAAGGCAACTACAAGCGTTCCGAGCTCAGGTGGTTGTCACGTGATGTACTTGTCAATCTGCAGGGTCCCGGTCTTGCATTCGACGAAGGCGGCAGGACGCGCTTGCGCGTCGTCACTCCATGCCCATGGCGCGGTCGTGCACATGCCCGCGCCGGCATCGCCCTGACGTACCGCTCAGCAATCAGCCAAAAACTGCAACATCATATACAACTCACCTCTATAGGAAGTGCCTTGTCACTGACGTCGTGATTCTGGCACATCACGCGATTTCCGTCGAACATCCCGTCAATGGGGCTTTGGACGATCACATGTGAGCCACCTGTAATATCTCGAAATGAGGCTACTACTTATGTATTTGTTATAAATGAGAGTCCGGCGCGTCGTCACAGTCGCTATCGTAGAAAAGCACTTCGTTGTACCTTCCTCTGACGCTGTCTGTCTTCGTGTGGATATTGAAAGATATCGGTGACCCTCGGCTACATTTCCAATCCGCCACGCGAGTGAAGCGCGTGGGATGACAGTATTCAAAACAGTGGCGGAGATACCCGTGAAAACATGCATACTCTTAGCACGTCCCAGTCGCAGCGCTACGGGAAAGAGACGGACATTGTAGGGCTGTAATGCGAGCTTGTAGTAGCTACCGTTGAACGCGTTAGGTCGGTCTGGCCGAGAGCGTTCACGACCAACGCACTTATGGAAATCGGAAGAGGTCCAATGATGAATCAAGTCGCCGTCCGCGACTATTACGCTTCATGCGCCTTGACTTCGTCCTCGAGCCATTTCCAAAGCTTCTCCCCTAGCTCGTCATCGTATGCCTCTGGCCGGCACCTTCCAACACGCGCCCAGGGTATGAAAAACTGACATATGGTGATGAGTACCGTCTTAACAGGGAAAGTTCTTCAACATACCTCGCCGTTGTGATTGAGAGCCTCCGGCGCGGTACCGGCGTAAAGCTGTGTGATCGCACCAATTGGCGTTGGGTACAGCATCGCATTCTGATGTCGCCGTCAGCTTATACGAGCGTAGCCTGTCAGACAAGTCGGTCCGCACCACAAGCTTCCTCTGCAGGCCGGTAAGGTGGCGTTGCAGATCGCTCTGGATGTTCCCTATATATCCGTGAGCAGGAAGCACGATAGTACGCATGGGACTACAACCGACCGGGATTGACAGATACGGAGATAATGCCCTGCTCAGCATATCGTTTCGCAAGCTGCCGCGCAAACACCACATTGCCCTGTCCAAGACAGGCATGTTAGTCCAGACCTTGGCAGAACGCTTACGCTAAGCCACGCACGAATTTGCTCTGGAAGTAGAGGTTCTCTTTCGACAACTTCTTCCTCTCGGGTGTGTCTTTGAATGTCTCCCAGTGGAGAGTGTCTAAATATGCACCGCTGGAAGCCGTCGTCACAACGCGAGCGTGGTGATCTGGAGACGACTTGACACCGGCAAGGAGAGCGGGCAAGAGCAACACGGTGAAGTGGTAGTGGCCTAACACGTTCGTACCCCATTGCAGGTCGTACCCGTCCGCGGTCACCTGTTCGATGGGCGGGACCATGACTCCACTGACGAGCGATGAGAAACATGAGGGGGCACTTTTGGGATGAAATAGACGGAACGCACGCATTGTTGAAGAGAATGTGAAGTTCTGGCTCCTTGCTCAAAAACTCCTCAGCCGCCTTCTTGACCGAAGAAAGACTACTAAGGTCGAGCTGAAGGAAGATGGCTTCCTTGCCCGTCGCCTCCTTCAAGGAATTGATGGCCTTCTCTGCCTTATTCTTGCTGCGGGCGGCGAGGTAGACCTTGGCATTGTGCTGCAGAAGAGCCTGATCGACGGTCCGGGTTGGAAACGCGGGGTACTTCAGTGGCATAAGATTACGCACCTTCACGGTCTCGTAACCGATACCGACGTTACCACCTACAAAAGCCGTAAGCGTGGAGGCAAAGACCACCCACACTACAATATGTCTTACCTGTGACTATGACAATCCTTCCGGTGAGATCAGGTATGTCCTCTACCGTGAATTTGGACTTGGGCGGAAAGGATTGCTGCAAAGTGGGCCATATGGTCTGCTTGAAGTTAGAGAGCGCGGCACCCATCGCGGTTCAAATGAAATGAAGCTAATATAGCGCAGAAACCTATCAGGAGGAGCCAGGAGAAAGGTAAGTAAGGTGGAGTCTCTGGCGTGTGGCGGCTCGGAGTACTTATTTGAACTTGAGCCGAGCCCCGGTCGGTAATTGATCCGCACGTGATCGCGCACTTGCCGAATGATGAGCGGCCCGTTCGTCATCGACATCGCATCATGCGCCAACATCGTCTCGGACTGCGTTTGCACCGAGCGCAACAATACGCACCTGCGAGATGACCAAGCCAGGCTTGGACTCCAGCCCAAAACACGAGCTATCGGAAACCCCACGGGATGTAAGTCGCACACTCGCCGTTATGATCGAGTGCCTCCGGTATGATACCAGAATAGAGCTGCTCAAGTACACCTTTTGGGGCAGGGGACAGCATCGCTTGCTGTTCTAATGAGTATTGTCGTCAAAGCGATGGATCGTCCACACCATGTACTTGCTGAGGATGCGGCGGCACTAATGGGGGAATCTGAACTGTAACGATGAGCAGGGAGGATTTCAAGTAACGGCAAATGTAACATCTTCCGGGGATGGACTGGATCTCTTCGGTCCCGATCTGGTTTAGGAGTATGCATCGATCGTGGAGAATTCTGTAGTTTCAGTGCTGGGAACGAACAAGATTCGATCATTGGGGCTCGAGGGTTGCCATGCACTTCCAACTACCACGAGTTCACCAGAATCACGACTGAAAGCGCTTTCGGATATTACAGGCAGCTTTGCACCTTCAAGTACGATACGACTTGACCTCGTCCTCCAGCCACTTCCACAGCCGTTCCCCGATCTCGTCATTGTAGCACTCCGGCCTGCACTTGCCCAAGCGTGCCCACGGAATCATATACTGATCGTGCATGCATGAGATCTCTGTTCGGGTGCGCACTCGTTCAAACGCACCTCTCCGTTGTAGTTCAGAGCCTCGGGCATCGTGCCAGCAAACAGCTGCGTGAGCGCACCCTGAGGTGCAGGGTAGAGGAGAATTGTGCTCTACGTGAACAGACATTGGACTTCTGTTCAGTCGAGAACGCATTTGGGGGAAACGGTGATACGGTACCATGATCTTGGACGCGAGCGGAGGCACGTAGCGCTGGAGGTCAGTCGTGATGTTCCCTTGTGACTGTCAGCATATCAGCGAAGAGGGCTTGGGTGTGGGGGATACCTGGATTCAACGAGATCGCAACGATGCCCTTGTCGGCATAGCGCTTTGCAATCTGTCGCGCGACTATGACGTTGGCCTAATAATGCGAACATGTCAATTGAGTCCTTACATGCTGTGGAGTCTCGATAGAGACGTACGTGCTTGCTCTGGTAGTACAGAGATTGCGTCGACAGTTTGCGCCGTTCCGGGGAATCTTTGAAGGTGCCCCAGTGGAGCGTCTCGGCGTATGCTCCGCTCGACGAGACAACGATGACGCGCGCATGCTGGTCGGGGGATGTCTTCGTGCCTTCAATTAGGGCCGGCATGAGTAGCTCGGTAAAGAGGAACGGGCCGACAACATTCGTCCCAAACTGGAGGTCATGACCGTCTTTCGTGAGCATCTCGATAGGGGGCCACATCACTCCCCTGAAAATCTCAGTGAGTATCTGCATGGGAAGGTATCGACGCTGGCGAGCACGATTGCTTACGCATTGTTGTATAGGACATGGAGCTCTTTCTCCTTACTGAGAAAATCTTCGGCGGACTTCTTGACGGCCGCTAGGTCACTCAGATCGAGCTCGTGAAAGACGGCCTCCTTGCCTGTCGCCTCCTTCAATGAGGTAATCGCTTTCTCTGCCTTCTCCTTGCTCCGTGCAGCAAGGTACACCTTCGCATTATGCTGCAATAGTGCCTGGGAGACGAAGAAGTTGAGCTGACACAGATTTGTGCCATGCACACGACGGTGCGAACCTTGACCGTTTCGTAGCCTAGCCCGGTGTTACCACCTGATAAATAGATGAACACACCACCACTCGGCAGAGAGGTTGGACGGCATACCTGTAACGATTATCACGCGACCCGTCAGGTCCGGAATCAGGTCGACGCTGAACTTGGACTTCGGCGGGTATATCTGCCCGAGAGCAGGGAGCTTCTTCTGAAACTCGGAGAGTGCGTTACCCATGGTAGCTGGTCAGGAGAGAGGCCTGAGGGCTGAGCGCGGCACTTCCAGCAGACATGACGCATGAAGGAGGCCTTGGGACGGTGTGAATGCTGACGCTGTGGCGTGGCGACAAGGGATCGACGTGAACCGGATCGAACCGTGTCTGGTATTTGAAAATAGGTCTCCTTCCCAGGCTGTTGTGTCCCTGGGTCCAAAGGCCTTCCCGTGTAAGTAGATTGAACCGACAGCGATATTGTCGAGCTGGTAGGGGGTTATGATGTGCAGTAACATGAGCGGTAATTTCAAGAATGCCACGACTCATCGCATTGCAGGGGAAAGCGCCCGAGTTTGCTTCAGGCAGGCAAACACCGGCCATGTAGCTGGAAGAGTACACCCATCTCCTGCCTTGTTATAATCGTGAGATTTACTCTCCTGTCCTGCGAACGTCTCATCCTGGGTGACAATCCACGATACTGGTGCTAGCCTGAAAAGACGAGACCGGTGTAGGAACTCTCGACGTGCAAGCTTCTTTCGATGTGAAACCTCTGCGCCGGTCTCCTTGCAGCAGCTACAGCATTGTCCGAAGCATGGGAGACGACGACGTGTATACTTGGAAATTCGCTCACAGTGATCAGTAATCGTTTCCAGGTTGAAGACAAAGCGGCGAGCGGTACGCCGTTCGTTGCGAGTGCAAGAGATCAGTACCTCTGCCTCGGAGGATGATTGCGTTAGGGTCAACAAACTCAACTTACTCGATGTGTTGCACAGTGAGTAGCTCTATTTCCATATCAACGCCTTTTACCGGGAACCTTTGCAGGCACATCGACAGGTCATGTCGCGTTAACCTAGCCCAATCTCCGATATTCCCTACATCAAGCCGTAGTCTTGAAGCGCTCCAGGTCCCCTCCAACCAACCGACCCTCTTCGCCTTTCAGCTCAAATAGCCCCAGCTTCCCCTTCTCGCAAACGAGACTAAGCCTCCGCGTCGTCCCGTGTTCCTTCACAAGACGGTGTATTTCCTTCAGCAATGCCACGAACTGTGCGATACACTTCTGGATGCTCTCCATTTCCTCAATGCCAGTGAACTCAGGGGAGTCCAGCCCTTGCCGCATCACCTTTTCGAAGGTGCCGTTCTTGTGAATCGCGAGGAGGTGAGTAGGGGTCTGGGTCAAGAACAATTGGAGGAACGTGTCTTCGTTGCTGGTGCAGTCGGCGAACATGATGGAGCGCGTCGCGAGTTCGATTATAGAGGATTGCGGGAGGAGTGTGCCTGCACGGACGACGGCGAGTTCTCCGGGGATGATAGGCAAGTCTGCGTTCTGCGCTGCGTCCGGAGCGACCCCCCACGCAGTCGCGTCGTCCGCTGGGAGCTCCCATCCTGTCTCTGCAGGCGGAAGTGCTTGGCCGCGATCGTCTCCGCTCGTTTGCTTACCCTTCTGCGTCGTTGCCTCTGTGAACCCCCAGTCTTCAGCGTTACTCCCACCTACCCACATATTCGCCTCGTCCTCGTTTGTGAAACTTTGTCGTGCTTGGGTGCCCGCCGCCTTTTCGGTCGGGGCCACAGGGATGCTCCCCGAAGCTCGCTGCGACAGCTCGCGCGCAGAGTCTTCCGTCCTCGTTTTATCCCCATCTGTGTGTGGCGGAGTAACGGGTGTACTTGTGGCTACGCACGCGTCGACCTCGAAGCGGACAACCATCTTCAATCCGCAGATGGTCTGCACACACACAAACACACAACCCTGTAAGTGCCAGAAACTATACCCCGATGCATCGAAATTGTAGCTCACGTATTGCACAATACGATAGTGTCCGGCGCCGTTCTCGCAGCCCTGCGCGGCCTTCGTGGCCTCGCGCTCAAAATTCAAGCGACACCCCGCTTTCGGCGGGACAGCGACTTCGCGCGCGCGAGCAGCCCACCGGTGCATCAATACCGTGTCTGCGCCGCCGAGCTGGAGGTCGATCCGGAAGTCCTTGCGCGTATTCCACTCGGGCGCGGTCGTCGCGGCGCTCCCCTCCTTTCGTTCGCCCTGGTCGCGAGTCGGACGCTCTAGGCTCGGCTCGCTGACAGGGCTGAGAGGCTGCGCTGCGTCTGAAGGGAACGGCTCGCGGATCCAGCGAAGGAGCTTGCGCAAGTTGTTCCTGTCGGTGACGAAGTCGATGGCCGCCCAATCAATCATGTCCTTGTTCGAGTCTACATCCGGCCCAGAGGACACACTGGAAGCCAGAGCATCGACGGCTCGAAAGAGTGGAACAAGCGTGGACTGGTTGGCCATATAGTACGCATCCTCGTGGAACATCCTGATCCCGCTATCGAAGTCGACCGTGAATGGCATCGGGCTGTCTAGCCACTCGCGAGGTGAGCCTGCACGATGTTGAGCCATCAGCGAAGTCCGAACTTGAGTTACTATACCGTACAACTCACCAGGGACGATTATAGTCGGATGCTGCCCCTTCACCCAGGTGTATGACGCAAGGGGACGGAAGTCTTCTATCTTGGTTGGTTTGTCGACGTCTGCGACATTCGGCGCGGTGAGCTCAGCGATCGCGGGCTCGAGGATGTTCTCGCGCATGTCGCGCGCAGGCGGGGGATTGTCTTCGGCAGGCTGTGAAGCGTAACGTCTCTCGCCCGCTGAGCTGTCGCTCCAGGGGCCCATGCCTCGTCGCCCGCCACGTCCACCTCGCCAAGGCTGTCCGCGAGCGCGAGCGCGCCCTTCGCCTCTGTCTGCGGCCCCGGAGATCCCACGTCCGCGGCCTCGGAATCCGCCACACTCAGCGTACCCGCCTCGCCAGCCGCGTCCTCCCCGGCCGCTCTCGTTGGGGAACTGGCCGTGCTCATCGCTGCCCGAACATCCTCCGTGATCTCTAGTGTTGTCACGCTGGAACCAGCGACCGCGCAGACCTCCCCCTCTTCCGGTGTTCCATTGGTAGAAGCCATTCTGAATGCCGTCAAGGTCAGTAGCTGCGGGCGCTGCCACGAATGGCATGAAGGGCGTAGCTTGGCTCACCATGTGCGGCGGTTGCTCATCAACATCTCGCAAGACGTTGGCCTGGGGAATGATGGGGACATAGGTGGTCAACCATCGAAGACCCAGCGGCGGCATCGAGGTCAAAGGTGCCCCGCGTCCGCCTCGACCGCGTTGAACGAAGTGGTTTCCTCTCTTGGTGAGTGTGTTGAATGCGGGCATGTTCGCATTGGGAGTCGTGCTAACAGTGTTCTCTCCAGCGCCCCCGCCTCGTCCAAAACTTCCCCAATAACCACCCCTGCCGCGCCAGGGAGGTCCACCACGCGCGCCTCCGCGTCCTCCGCGTCCCCTTCCTTCTCCGCCATCCTGAGAGATGTCGTTGTTGGCCTTCGTAGACATTGAAGAAGATTCGAAGTACCGGTCGGGCACCAGCTAGGAGCCAAAGAATCCAGACTCGCTATGCCTGACTGGGCCGCTCGGGTATATAAGACTTCCTTCAGAGCGTATGACGCAGCACATGGAATTCTGAGGGACCGTCAAGGTCTACCGCAGTACTCAAAGCTTCCGGCGATGTCTCTGCCGCATGACAAACTCTAGTACACGCGGGATGCATGTTTCGTACACCGCTGTCTGCGAGATGACCGCAGCACGGCGCGACAGAGTCCAGCGTACAGGATTGCGTTGGCAGCGTTCGAGGATCATCCTGCTGCGAGTTTGGGGCTGCTCGCGCCCGCGGCGGTCTTCTATTTCCCAAGCGGGACTGCAAGTGCGAACTTCCGATCACCCGAGTCAGTCATAGTCCCAAATGCTTGTATGCGACTCGTGCGCATGGGCCTCCGAATGGGCCCGACAGGATCAAGGGACAAGACGTCACACCAAGCACGAATTTGACAGCTGGAACAGGGTGGCTGGCACCCGTCGATTGAGGTATACTATCTAGAACACATACGAAGCCTGGACAGCAGCACCCTGCCTGGTCTCCCCTATGTCACCGCCCACGTTGGGCGTGATTTTTGTCCTCACAGCCCATGCAGCATCTCCTTAGTTCGGGAGCGCGTTGATCTGCTGCTGGAGCTGGCCGTAGACGGTCGAAACGGCAGGGCAGCCGACACCAGGACCGTGAAGGTTCTGGAGGGTCGACAGGAGGGTCGCGATACGCGCCTGCTGTTCTCCCTTCGAGTTGCCCGTCGGGAAGGGCGCCGCAATGGGCGGGTTGTTAATCATGTGGCCGGCGTTGACGTTCGCGTTCAATGACTACAGACGAGAAGCTTCAGCAAGGCCTAAGGAAGCGCAGAGCGATACTTACAGCAATGAACGAGTTACGGTCGGGAGGGCAGGCACAGGGGATCTTGATGTTGTTAAGACCAAGGCAGTTACTGTGGGAGACGTCAGTTGCTGACACATTCTTGCGAGTGTATCTACTTACCCAGTGCCGTCAGCGCCAGTACCGGGCACAACACCGAAGTCGGGAACGAGGGCCGGGTCGACTTCACGCTTCTGGAAAGCAGCAGGCGCCGCCTGAACGGCGACAAAAGCAGCGACGACGGAGAGGATGATCGTGGAGGCCTTCATGATGGTATGTGGGTCGTTAAAGAACGGGTGAAGTGACTAGATAGTGGACGGGTGTCGAAAAAAGGTGCAAAAAGAGTGTGTTGCGAGAGGGTAATTCTTGCAATACGCCCGGCGTAGAGAGAATGAAGAAGTTCCAGCTGTCGAAGGAATCGTCTTGTCGACCGAGGGCATATATAGCTTTCGCAACCTGCGGACACCGCCACCTACCTCGCTTGCATGTCGCGGTATCGCAGCCTGTGTGACCGTCCCTTGGAGCTGAATGCGATCTTCGCGTGTGGTGGAGCCACAGGCGCATCAAGGCGCAGTGATAATCCGCCTCGATGCTTTTCCGAGCAGACCGCAGACGAAGTGTAACCTGCAAGAAGAAGCAATCCAATGATCAATCATGAGGCCAAGTACGCCGAACATGTTTCTGAACAGACGATACTCACCTGTGGGTACAAAGCTAAAGACTCCGTTCGTGAGCTATGTAGGAGTTGTGCAAGTATGCCAACACAACATCACTTACACTTTCCTTGGTCTTACGACTACGACTACCTTAATGTACATTGTGCAAAGCGCAGACTCAGAACTTGTTGCCTACGCTCGACGAACCAGGGCACTTCAAATTTGTATGGAGCAGGCCTGAAATAAACTTTCAACAATTGATTGACACATTGCACTGCAACCTATTGATGACCGATCAGCGCAGGTATTCGTATCAACTAGCAAATGATAGACCTACATATCAGTACCACGTCAGCCTGGTCGCACATGCGATGCAGTCTCGCCTTGTTGTTCGCAACAAAAATTACTGACTCATTCTGGCGCGATGCTATTGTAAACATTATATGTATTATGCGCATTCTACATTATCGTCATTGATGTACTATGGGGCACAAAGAGATGGGCTCATACCTGTAGCATACGGAGTACTAATCAGATGCCAAACCGCACAAGCTCACGATCTGGTAAGCAGCCGACATCATTACCATCGCCGCGCTCGAACGCCTCCAATCTGCCTCCTCGGCAGACTAAACTCAGCCGGCCGCGACGGCCGTGTTCCGCGACAAGCGTCTGTATTTCCCGAAGCAGTAATGTTAGTTGTCTAAAATTCCTTTGCACCCCATCCCGTGCCGCGACCCTCTGGAACTGGGGTGAGTTCAGAGGACGTGTGTTGATGGTTTCGAACACCCCGCGTTGGTGCACCGCGAGGTAGTGGACTGGAGTTTGAGAGAGAAAGAGCTGAGTGTATGTCTCCTCCCAGTTTTGTCGCTGGGCGCCTTTTGTTGAGCGAGTTGAGATTTCGAGTATTGAGGATTGGGGGACCTGCGTACCGCCCCGAATGACCGTAACAACGGCGTCTGGGTCTTCCGGGGATGGTGCGAGGGGCGCGGGCGTACGAGATATGTTCGCTGATGTCCGGCAGGCCAATGAGAGGCCTGCGAGGGCTTCAGACAGCTTGTCTGGCATCTCAGCGTCGTCGCGCGAGTGCGCGGGTGCAGTAGCGGCCTGCGCGTCGACCTCGAAGCGGATGACCATTCGGACGCCGCCAAGTTCCTATATGGCAAATTGAGATCAGCTTGAATATGTATGATGGAGTGAGCAAGATGAAGACATACGTACATATTGCACGATCCGATAGTGCCCGGACGACGACTCACAACCCGGCGCGGGTGTAGTTATGGTCATTTCAAAGTTGAAGCGGCAGCCCGCAAGCGGTGGAGTCGCGTACTGGCACGTATGCGTGTCCCAGCGCTGCATCAGGACTGTTTTGGCGCCGCCTAACTGTAAATCAATACGAAAATCCTGGACTTTGCCTGAGGGATAGCTATTCAGGGGTTGGGGGTCGTTTAAATCGGGATGGGCGTCGCAGTTTCGTACCCATCGGAGAAGTTTGCGGAGGCTGCTGCGGTCGGCGATGATGTCGATGGAGGGCCAGTCCATCGTGGTATCGGCGTTGTCCTCTGCGACGGCGTCGACAGCGCAGAAGAGGGGGATGAGAGGAGAGGACCCTGACGAGCCCATATGGTAGCCGTTTGGATCAAATATATGTAACCCTTCGTCAAACGGTACGCGGAAGGGCAGTGGCCGATCGCGCCATATCCGAGGGGAACCTGACACGCGGAGCACAGTGAGCTACAGACGTATGCGTGAACAGGACAGGATGAACGAACCTGGCACGAGGATAGTCGGGTTCGGACTATCCAGCCAGTTATACGAGCCGAGATACTTGAAGTTCTCGGGCTGTATGGAGGGAGCGGTCCCGTCGCGGGGGACGGATGGGAGGGTGAACCGCCGCAAAGGCTCGGAGAGCAGCCCTTCGGTGACATCGGCGTCCGGAAGGAGGTCGGGCTCTGTGTTCGCCGTGGACTGCGTGACGGTGTTGAGCTTCGGGATGGAGTAGGTCCGTCCGGCGTCCTGGCCCCGTCCGCGACCTGCACGACCACGGTAGTCTGCCTTGAACGCCATCAATGGGAGATAGCTAGGAGAAGTGGGCGGCGGAACGCACCATGCGCAATGGGGAGAGCTTGGTGTCAAGAAGAGTGTGCACGTCCTAGTTCTTATGGACGGCTGCAAGTTGGGTACCGCAGCATTTCCTTGGCTCTGAGCTTGACTGAGGGAGTGCGATACGTGCGATTACCGCCCTGACTCACATGGTGGGTCGTACTTGGCCGCGCGGACTCTATGTGTCGCAGCTGAGGTTCCGTCTGTACAATACCCGAAGCACCGCAGCAACCACCGGCACGACCGCACGATGAACCCGCAGATACATCTACACTGTCCGCGTTCGAATCAGCGATAGCGCAGCACAGAATGGTAGGTGGGACACACCCGTGTAGATGGGTCCAGAATGCGATCCAGAGCTGGAACAATGTGAGATGAAGCTATAAAGCCGAGATTCGACCATTTCGCGGCGGCACACAGAAGGAAGGAAAACACAAGTCATGAAGCAAAGGCCGGTGGATTGCACGAAACCAAGAAAATAGTACATGTCTACAGTTCTTCCCGATTAGAGCACTCACTTCTGCGCCTGCGACGCGGCCGCAAGCCCCGCATCCCGGAACTGCTCGAGGGCATTCCACGCCTTCCCAGACGTGATGCTCTCCCTCGCCTTCGCCACCCCATCCTTCAGATCCTCCGCGATCCCCGCCACGACTAACAGCGCCGCGGCGTTCATCAGGACGAAGTCCAGCACCGGCGTCAGCTTCTCCGGGATATCCTTCCCGCTCTGCAGCAGCGCGCGGAACGTCGCCGCGTTCTCCTCCGGGCTTGCCCCCGCGACCTCGGACAGGGGGTGCGCCTCGAGCCCAAAGTCGCGAGGGTGTACGGTCCGCTCGGCCACGGAACCGTCGGGACGGAGCTCCCAGACGAAGGTGTCGCCCGCGCAGGAGATCTCGTCGAGCCCCTCGGCGCCGCAAACCACGAACGCGCGCTGGACGCCGCCGTCGGCGAGGGAGTGTGCGAAGGTCGGGCCGAGCTCGCGCTCGGCGACGCCGAGGACCATCCCGCGCGGACGAGCGGGATTGATCAGGGGGCCGAGGACGTTGAACATCGTGCGGTGCCTAGGTGGGGTAGAAGGGGTACGTGACTAAATGTGCGCATATATGCGGGAATTGCGTCCGAACTTACGGGAGGGCCTTCCGGTATGGGGCGATCATGGCCAGAGAGAGGTGGTATTGAGGGGCCATGATGAACGTGAAGGGGATGCGAGAGATGGGAAGCGGGGCATCGGCAGAAGGCGGGGTAAAGTAGCAGCCTAGAGATTGGAGTAGGTCTGCAGACCCGGAGGAAGAGGTCGACGCGCGACTTCCGTGCTACAGGCGGCGCAAAGGCATGAGAGACACTTTCAGGGAGTATGTTGCAACTTTCACGCACCTTGACTACGCGCGCACCTGCGCCTGCCGCAACGATCGCCGCGGTCGTGCTCACATTGAAGGTGTTGTGCCCATCGCCGCCTGTCCCGACTATGTCCACTACGAAGTCATCATCGATGCCCTCAATCGCCGCCTTCAACGCGCGTGCCCGGAGGACGTTCGCGGCAGCCGCAAGGAACTCGGGCCTGCGCTCGATACGCTCGATGTGCAACGCGGTCAGGAAGGATCCGATTTGTACCGGGTGGACGACATCCGGTGTGAAGATGCACTCGAGCGCGACCTTGAGGTCTTCGGCGGTGAAGTATTCGGGTGTTTTTACGAGCTTGCCAAGCAGGGACTTGAAGGTGTCCTGGGAGACCGACGGTGGGGGCATGGTGGGAGATGCGCAAGATTGGGATGACTCCTTCGCAGAGACGTAGGGAAAACGTACGGCCGTTCGTCCGGCCTACATGTACATCCTCAGGAGCGTTTGTTGTTGAGTCGCGGCTGAGATAGCTCTGCTCGTTCCGTTCTCATCGCAAGTATGTTGGTGCGCAGAATCCAGATGGATAAAGGATGGTTAGGTTGCCGGGCACGCGCTGATGCGCGAGCCGGTTAGGGTCGCGCCTGCGGGCATTCGACTCCGTTCGACCTCGGACTAGTCGTCAATCAAGCTCACGGGGATGTCGTCGCACGCGAATACGATGTCCATCGCTGTTGGCAACGCTGCGACGACCGCTCAGAGGGCGGTGGCGGCGCCGGGGAGGGCGGAGACAGCGGACGAGGCACGGGCGTGGAGTGGGAATCGGCGCCTGCCGCAGCCACTCCGGAAACAAGCACAAACACGCTCTTTACTCCCCACCACCACCGCTCTCGTCGTCGCACTCGTCGTCGCACTCGCCCTCGACCTCGCCCTCGCCCTCGCTGGCGCCCTTCCTTAGTTTCTCCTAATCTTCTCTCTTCGCCAACCGCACAAGACAGCCAGGACCTCCCGCTTGATGTTCATTTCTTCCATTCTCGCCGTGGCCCTTGCGGCCATTCCTGCCGTCTTGGCTCAGGACTACTCCGCAGCCCACAATGTCACGCCCATCTCTGGAACCTGGAGTTCAGGATCGAAGAAGGTCATCACTGGCGCTGTGAGTAGTGCTGTCGCGCTGCATATAGGCGGCCTATTGACCATTCACAGGGCTTTGCTAACCCGGCGAACATGACCTTCAATTACCCTCCCGTCACTGGCGTATCGTACGCCTTGTGAGTATCAATATCATCATCGCCCGTATGATCCTTGTCTCAATGCATTGTGCTTGCCTTGCAGCACGGACGATGGATTTTATGAGGTCGCTCGCTATCGGTTCAACGGCAACGGTACGTCGTCATGCTCCAATGGCTAGCGCCCACGCACTTGCTCTGTGCCTTGGGTCTCTCCACATTCGTGAGAACGCTCTGAGAATTGCACGCATTGGTTGCGCAGTGTTCCATGGGGATCGTGGAGGCTCGTGAGCCCACGTACTGGCGGCGAATGTGCTGGACCCCATCACTCTGTCTAATTATAGACAACTGAATTCACCGCGCGCGCATGCCCTGGTTGGCACATCTTTTATACAGTCAACTGACACTGTTGTTATCCAGGTTCATCACCGAACTGTATCACCGGTGTATTGAATTGGCATCACGGCACACATACACTGAACCCGAACGGCTCAATCACGCTTACGCCGTTCGGTGACGGCTACCAGCAAATCCAGGATCCTTGTGCCGCCGAGTCCAATTTTATTGAGGGCTACAACACGACGGAGATGTACATGTCGTGGCAAATCTTCATGGACCCCGTCGATGGTCCCAAGCTCCACCTGTTCCAGGCGGACGGCACGCCTGTCGCACCCCTCTTCCAGGTGTACTCGACCGCCAACATGCTTCCGAACCAGCTCTTGCGGAACGTCACTGTTACCGTCACCGATCAATCAGCAGCTCTCTTTGTCTCAAACAGCGCGCGGCGGTGGACTCCAAGTGGCGTAGCGTTGATCGTTTCTGGTGCATTCACCGTTGGACTCGCGCCTCTGCTCCTCTAGATTGGCTTGGACCACGACCACTATATCTATCCGTACACGCACGTCGCTCACATTCTGTCATTGTCTCCCTCACCTCATCTTGGCTCGCCCGTTCGAATCTTAACGCCTCATGCCGTCCTTACGTACACCGTAGTTACACGGTAGTGGTGGCTTTACACTCGCACGGCGCACGCGCGCACTTGCTTCTTCTGTGTTTCGAGTACTGTGGGCGGGGCGTCGTATGCGTGCGTGATTCCCACCACGAGATTTTGCCTTGACACATGACATTTCTCTACCATCGTGTCCGACCTGTCTTACGTTCGACTCCTCTAAACAAGTTACGATACCCAAGCCCGTACGTCCCCATCGTGCGTTTCACCGTCTCGTTGACCCATTGCATATACATACATGCGGCCAGCGGGCTGCGTGACCGACACGCATGCACCGTGTAATCTACTGCAGTCCAAACTCCCTGTGGAGCTGGCCCACGTGCCTACTGACAGCGGATGAGAAGCATTGACGGAAACGGACAGCTTCGCGGCGGTGGCGTTCCCTGCATGGTGCCAGTACTTCCACCGAATTGTGTGCGCCTGCCCCCACCATATGGCAACAGATGGGAACGCGCCCAAGTAGGTACAGGCAAATCACGTCGAAATGGACAGCGAGGTCCAAATGGACATGGTTTGGTATTCAGCCACCCCACAGGCGCACGGTGCGTCCATTTGCCTGCGCGCGACCGCAGCAGAGGATTCTGTACTAGTCTCGTGACAAGACGTTCAGAGTGTGAAGCGGAATCGAACATGTCACGGAAGGATCACTCTCACGTGACGTTATCTCGTGACGTTTCTCCACTAGGACGTCGGATTATTGTGCCTCCAGGTTTCACGAACACTTACTTGAACACGACTCAACACTTGGGTACTGTACCTCTTCTTCGCGCCATGGCTTCCGACGAAATACCGGACTTCCTGCAGATACCTTACTGGCTCATTCAACATCCTGAAATCCAGCGTCGTGACATGCACCTAGTGCTCACGTTGCGTCCGGTGAGGAAGCTCCCGCCACCCGGGTTGTCATGTCACTCTTCGAGCTCACTCACGACAACAGGACACAGTTTTCGCTACAGGCTGGGACGCGTCTCCTCAGCGAGTGGTCAAGATCGTTGATCCTTCTAAAGAGGAAGCGGACATTCTTGATGGCCTACAGCGAGACTTAGCGTGTCCAGCTAGTCATGTCGGGCCTTGCGACATGGTCCGCTCCGACGCCTTCTTGGCAATAATGCCATATCTTACCTCAGTGGAGTACTTGCTTGCCTCCAGGAAGCTGAGCACCGTTCTCGATGTGTTCGACCAGCTTCTAGAGGTCAGTGGAGGAATTATATGAATTGCAGCACCCTGATTCACGTCCGCCAACATCTAGGGAGTTGCATACCTCCACGATCGTGGCATCGCTCATATGGTGCGGCTTCACTGCGAATACAGGACCAGCCAAAGCTCATCAAATCTTGCCAGGATTTGTGTTTTTCCAATGTGCTTGCCGCGACACATCGTGAGGCGAGTTTTGACCCACGTGTCAAGGCAGGCAAGCTCTACATCATCGACTTCGACCGCTCGCGCAAGCTCGACTTAAAGCCCGGCGTACAAGGCGCTGTTGCTTTGCCAGAGACTGTGTGCAGCCCTCCACCGGGCATCACACATTTAGATCCGTACTCCTGGGACGTGTACTGTGCTGGTAAATTGTTCCTCCTGTACTTAGAGGTGTGTTGCGTGAAATTTGTCACGACAGAAGTTATTTGCTAACAACACCGCAGAGCTGCAAACGCAATAATCCATTGCAATATATAGTCGACAAGTATGCGCAGTGGTTGATCGGTGATGAGCGAGGATGCCGAGGTGTCTGTCGTTGTCGCCCAACGGCACGGCGGGCAAGGCAGCTACTCGCACCAATACGTTGGGCAGTGTATGCCTGGGAGTATTGTGATTACATCTGCTCCGTGGTGCGCACGACTAGAAGGCAACCCTCGTCGGCTGCTCGAGGCATTTGACGTCGGTAGTCTACTCAATCGTTATGTGTCATAATAGCTTGTTAAATGCCGACCACATGAGACATGCAACCGCACGTGCTGAAAGGAAGATAAGCAGGAATACCTACCTTTAGCGGCTTCCTGATCGTTACATGGTTGACCACCTCCTACGTACGATAAGGAAGTCTCTGGGTTGTAGCCAACGATTGTCATAGAATACACATACAAGTAATGTACGGAGCGGGGCTCTCTCAGAACGTAGACGAAACGGATAGCAGTTACATGACAGTAGCCCGGTAGCAGTCAGTCGCAGGTACTACACGAATCCGTCGCTGATGGACTTTTTAGCACTGGGATAAAGTTGAAACGGTACAAGACGTACAAGTGGGTGGGACACTACATGTCCTCAACGTTGACTTGAACCATGACGGCCGTGGGTGTATCCCGGAATAGCTCAAGTGCCCTCCTTAGAGCAGCTCTGTTGCGCTCAGGATCTTGACCTGAAGGATTTTTGAGCCAGATTGGGACCGGGTCCGCATGGCGGCCTCCGCCTCTCGCGGTTGTGAGCTCGTAATGAAGCCAGGGTGGACGTATGCTTTGAGCGGAACGGGGGTGCTTGTGTAAAGCGCAACCAATATCTCCGAAGTCGAATCGAAAGTTCGCCTCCCGTGCATCGAAGGTAACGTAGATGAGAGGGAGCTGGTCAACGAGGCCGGCCAGATGGCCTGCAATCTCCTTGATGTCAGCCATATGGGGAGTGTCTGTCTGACTGTAGGAGGAGATGAGTAGTCAGTGCATCAGTGCGGCTGAGCGAAGTAGCGCAGCATTACTTACAAGAGCACTGACAAGAGGCGATATCGCTGCGAGGGTGGCGGCTGACTCAAAGACCGTCTGGCTTGGCCGTCCCAATTATATAGCCGTGAGCGATAGCAAGTGAGTGTCCAGCTCTAAATCGCCGTATGACAAACGAGGCCCTGTGCCCGGCACCACTGAGCGTGGAGGCCGCCCACAGATCCATCGATGATGTGGGCTTGTATCTCAAAAGAGGGTGGCATACGTTTGCAAGCTCATGACTGCTGGGCCGTCTTCGTCAAACGCAGAACTTTCTCTTTGGAAAATGGAGAGGTGATATAAGGAACCTTAGTAGTATGTTGCCACCAGTCGTGCCAGTGCGTTCACACGCCGTCCCAGTTTGGCTAATGACCAAACCTGCTTGCTGATTTGACTCGACCGAAGATCGATTTCTCACAGGTAGAAGATGAGCACTGAGCCATGGTCATTCTCCCGTAGTAGAAGCCTGAAGAGGACGTACGTTTCAGATGGGCTACACAGGTGGGAGTACATTGGCGTCCGTGAATAATCGGGTGGCGCGCCGCCAATGTCACCCGGAGTCGCCGGTCAATCTTGAGGCGGATCTGCTCGATGCTCCTCATGAACCCTCTACGGGAAAGTCGCTTTTCTGATACGAATCTTAACGCGCATGACTCATTGGAAAGATTACGATGCCAGCGTAGGATCCATGTACATGAGTATACTCGTGGGCAGTGAACATAGAGACCGATGGGAGAATGTAACAAGTAATAGGAAAGCAGGGCCAGTGCTCTGTACTTCGCGAACTATCAGAAACGGTGGAAGGTGAAGGGTCTCAATTGCGGGGCTCCTCACTATCACCAGGAGAGCACCGACTCATGATCGACATTACGTTTGCTCAGAAGTTTAGTGGAAGGGGAGAAGGGAGAAGCACATGAACCGCCCACTGAACGAGCGATTTTGGCGAGTTGCCTCCATGTCCGTTTGACTTGTACCTTGGGCATCGCCGCCCTCCTGAAGTCGATCGTAGTGCAGGCTCCCGCGAGCTGCCATGCCGCAGGAGCCGCCCATCTTCTGGATTCCTTTTGGCGATGACACATTCAAGCGCGCTCAAGCATTCGCTGTACTGGCGAAGTACACTTCTTAGTATCCCATTACCTTGCAATCTGGTTCATGACGGGACGCACCGTATCATATAGCTCCCCGTTCGTCCCACCTCACCCCTCCGCCCCAGCTTCGTGAGCGGGCACAATGGTGCCGGTAGCGTGACATAGATGATCGATATGGGAAAGAGAGACAAGCAGCTGTGCGGCAGAAATTGACAGTGTCAGACAGAGATCGCCCGTAGTCCTGAATCGTCGTGCGAGTGGTCGATCACTACGCCAAAACCCCTAGGCGATGGACATCGTGGGAGGGGAAGTGCTCATTTGAGGATGTCGATGTGGTGTATCATATTCGGAGTCAAGAGACGAGATAACCGCCAGTTGTAGTACCCTCCGAGAAAGCCGGACGGGCTTCGCTCAATGATCCAGTTCAATGCAGGCGAATGTGAGCCAAAAGGTGAGCGAATAATACATAGGCAGCAAGACGCATACGATATAATTCATGATAAGCGGTATCCAGATCCAGAATATGTGTGACTGCAGCAGGCGTAGGATGGAGTCGCCGATGGTCACTCGAGCTTCTCCAGTTGCTCTAGTCTTGCTAATACAACGTCTTTACTTGTCTCTTCAATCTCTCCGGCAAGGAATACCTCATCCAGAATGGCGTAAACCTATCGAACAGTTAGATGATGCACGACAGCAGACGGAAGGCGGGTTTTATACCTTGTAGAAGTTGAACACCAGATCGAGCTCGCAAACGTTGTCGAAGAAGGAGTCTGCCGCGGCAGCAGCCGTCAGTCACGCTCATGGGCGATAGGAACAGAAGTTTGCTTATAATGTGGCTCTTGTCACGTACCAAGTACTTCTACGAAGAGGTGAATGGCCTCGAGGTACGCGAGTTCGTTGTCGTTCGCATCTACGCAGACGCAAAAGAACAGGCCAGCGTAGCGGCGGTAGACGACCTTATGGTTGCGGAACTGTCCAAAACAGACCCGTTGACACCTCCGTTCAAGCTAGCGCCATAGAGGATAGAGGACGCACCTCAACGAAATTCGACTGGTACTTCTGGTCCCTCGGAGCGACTAACCGGTGCACCTCTCCCCTTAGCCGTACCTAAGATGGATCCCTTTATGAGGTCCCGGTAGTGATCGTACGACGCGCATAGAAGGCGAACCTTCTCGTCATCATCGTAAGGTACGTACCATTTAGAAAGCCGTGTTTTGCCTTGACGGTTCTGTTGTTCCTAGTCAGCTAGTTGAACAACACGCCTGGATGTTAGGTCCTAACCTGCACGAGGATGAAACGAATCATGATTCGCCTTCTATAGTTCCCACAGATGAGTGCGGCGCTCAGAGAGATATCAGAACTAGCGCGGCACGGCAAGCAGTCCAAGAGGAGGGGAAGGCACTCGAGGGGAGACTTGGGGAGAGTACCAGTGCTTCGAATGGTCCCGCAGCGCGAAGGGGTAACTGGTGAAACAGGACATAGATGTTATCTCTTGACTCATTTTAATCCGATATGGTGTAGTGGCTAACATTATCGCCTCTCACGCGATAGCCCGGGGTTCGATTCCCCGTGTCGGAAGTTTTGCCAGTGATCCTTGTTCCCACAAAATACAAGTCTGCTGCCGCTTGCAGTGATCAAGCCAACAAAGAGATTCTCAGTGGGGTTGCTGGCCTCGTCGGTAGGAGACAATTTTTGCAGTGCATTACTTCTGTAATCAGCACTATAATTATTACATCCCATCCTTCTTCAAGTTTCCCGACCAAGACTTGTACTTCTCATTAACGTCAGCAGTCAACCGGGCTATCTGCTGCTTTGCGTAAGTTCTCGCAACCTCCCTGTGTAAGAGATGCAATGGTAGCTCGGGCTCGGAAGCAAGCTTATAAATGACCTCTACTGCTTTCTTCACGTCCTCAACGTAGCTTCGAGCGATTTTTACTGTTCCAAACCATTAGACCACGCTTCATACAAGTCTATGTCCGCGGCCAACGCGGTGATCTTCTTTCTGGTAGCTTCGATGGCATCCTTCCCTACCACGAAGTGCAGCGGCGGGTTAGGATCTGAAGCAATCTTGTAGAACAACTCTGCACTGCGTCTCATGTCCTTCCACGCCACTACGTTATCCCATCCGACCTTGCGAGCATGCGAAGCGGGAAGCGCCGGGTTCGAGTATGCTGGATGTTCCGGAGACCATGTGGCCTTGGCGCATGCGGATAAACCCAGGTTCAATGAGATTTACTTATCTAGAGCGATTGAATGAAATGAGGTCAGGGCAGGAAGATGGTAGGCACGCCGCACCTTGATGTTCCAATCGGGATCCAGCTCTGCGGCAAGAGCTTCGGTCGCCCCTTCGAGTGCTGTAGAAACAGAGGACCTCGTATATGGTATAAGACAAAGTGTATGCAGTGGGAAAACCTACCGAACTTCGCCGCACAGTAGAAGGGCAATGCGGGCAGCCCTACAAGTCCTAGGTACGACGAGATTTTCAGCAACCGCCCACCAATCCCCCGCGGATTGGTCTCTCGGAAACACTTCAATGCTTCCTTTGTGACGCTCACCGCGCCCCAGAAATTCGTCTCGAGTAAACCGCGCGCTTTCGAATCTTCCATCCCCTCTAGCTTCCCAGTATCTGCGATGCCCGCGTTGTTGACGACGATATCGATGCGTCCAAATCTCTCTTCGGCCTTGGCGAAGGCATCGGCGACTTGGTGGGGTTGAGTGACGTCTAGGGGGAGTAAAAGGATACGTTCGGCGGGGTATTGCTGAGTTAAGGTCGGCCAAGGTGCTTGGCTGGCGGGCAGTCGCGATGACGACCTCGCCCTTGCCGAGGATGATCTCCGCAAGAGTGGCAGAAACCTACTGAACCAGACGGTGGAGCTGTTTTCTTCCAGCATAGAGGCATGTCAGCGGGGGAGGCCAGGCGTAGCTCAACTCACCGTGATGTCCTGCCATTATATGTGGCGATCGCGACCCAGGATGGGCTTGCTTATCGTGAGCGTCTCCAATGTGTTCGCATTCTGCAGGTGCACATCTTGCTATTCCTGGTTGCACTCGTTGCAAAAACAGGAAGAGGTCTACTAGCAGAGGACCTGGCCGCGAGGCTGACGGGAGTCAAGAGGCCCCATGTGCGGCGTCGAGTGACACCAAGGGCGCGCATATGGAGCATTACATTCCTAATCCATGTTATTAGCACCCACCTGCACGTTGTCCACTATCTGCGTTCGCTCCGAAGGCCTCTCGCAGGTTCATGTGCATTGTGACGTATGCAGCGGATTAGTACGACACTGAATATAGTACATGTTGGTCACGTCGTAGAAGGGGAGACTGCTCAAACAGGATTGAGGCAAGATGAATACGGCAGGAGGCATCCTAAAAATACATCAAACAAGGCAAACCATTGATGGGAAGGATGAGGTGCATGTAGGATAGCCTTGTAAAACTGGTCAGCAAGGGTCACTAGTCAGTGAAACTACTCACGACTAGGACTTGCCACTCTTCAGACCTCCCGCCAGAGATTATCCGTAACCGCATCTTCGTCGCATATAGCCACATGATCTACCATCCTCACCAGATGTCGCTCGAAGTCATGGACGTAGACGACCGTCACGATCGAGGGGCAATAGAGGCGAAGCTCGTAGGTGAGTGCACGCAGAGCCGCAAGGTGAGTTGGAGCAGGATCCCAGTCGGAGACATCCAACTCCAGGCATCGTAGGCGACGCAGACGCATCAGCATTGTGTAGAATTCTAAACGCTAGGAGCTCAATCAACGCATCGCTCGCCTTGAGATGTCAGATTATCCTGACCTACCTGGCGGCCGTCGACAGGCAAGACTAGTGTGCCAACGTACCGGAGGTCCACACAGAATTGTGCGTCCGATGTCACCGTCGACAGGAGTTCCATGGAGAACTCTGCGGTATACAAAGAGTCAGCGATGTCTATCGCTCGAAACCGCTTCTTCGAGCGCCGCAATGCCGAGACGATCGAATTCAGCTCCTCTCGCTTTTCTTCGAGTTTGCTCCGCGTAAAGCACGTCTTGACTCGACAAACTGGTCGGCCGGGCACCAAGGAGACAGCTGCCTCAGAGAAGGTGCATTCGAGGATACTGAGCTTTGGCAGAAACGTCGAATCGGAAGGTATGATGGGGGGCGCCATGACCTCGGCTGCGGACTCTGGGTAGTCGGCGATGAAAAGGTCGGAAAGATAAGGTTGAGTGGAAAGAAAGGTAGCGAGATGGTCATCCCAGACGAGGCCACAGTGGAAGGTTCGTAATTGAAACTTGCATTCGTCGAGTATCCAAGCCCTGTCCGGCGGATCTCCAGTATTGAAGTATAGATCGAGGGATCGAAGGTACGCCGTGCGCTTAAGAGCCTGGTGGAGGACCTGCCAGTACCCGTCCTCGGGCTGGAAGTCCGACTCATCGTCACTGTCTTCTGCGTCGTAGACTGAGAGCGCGGTGACGAGCATTGCCACACGCGGGGTGCGGCTGAGAACATCGCATACGGAGATCGTCGTGTCGTGTCCCCTGAGATAGAGGGTATTGTAGATCGCCCGTTCTGCTGCGACTTGAAATTGTTTAGAAACCGTACATAGATTAACGAGGGTTGATCTCGAGTCAGCGACATATTCGGCGATGAGACTGCAGGCGTCTGGGGGTAATGCCATGGATGGGTAGAACTTGGTCAGTCGTTAGCATGCTGCTAGCTCGTAAATCGGACACCCGTACCCCGAGGCCGTGTCTGTAAGATCCCGTCAGGAATGAGAGCCGCAGAAGGCTATCAAAGCAATCTCATCAGAAGTGCAAAGCTTACAGCAATCCAAGGGTTCTTACCTATAATCCGTACAGAATCGCGAGGTGTTGGAGGGTTCGTCACTATCGTAAGCAGTCTATGTTCCATTTAGGTGCATGTTGCAAATCATGATGCAAGAGACTTGCCGTGAGGTAAGTACGAGATCGCTTGCGGCACACTTGACAAATGTAAAGCGTATGCTCGAAGGAGAGACGCGTCCACAGAGCACAGTCCAGTTGCAAGTGGTACGGACACCCAGTTCCTTCCTGGTACCCGACGAATTTAGCTCGTGAATGGACTGCGTAGATCGCCGACTAGATGGCACAATGAAGTCATACTTTTCTCCACTGCACCGCAACCAAGCCACCCTCCGGATAACTGTCGGAGGAACGGCAAGTGGAGGCTCCGCGCCTGAACAGAGTAGCAGAGAGATGTGCCAGAGAATCCACGAGCTGAGGCCACGGCAAAGAACCTTGAGCGCGCTCTTTATTCATTCTGCAGCGCCGCGGCTGACCTATCAGATTGAGGGGAAATGGGTCTGATGTCACCCCTGGAGTTACGCCGACCGGTCACTTACATCACTACAGCCATAATTGTTGGGATGTTACGGTGCGACTTACAGGACGGAAAGGGAGGGGCCTTCGCGCTGCTCGACTAGATATCGCATTCCCTTCCCTGCCGGCGGAGTAGAAGGTGTTTGCGTGTCGGACCCTATACCGTTTCTATTCTGGTTGGTTGGGTTCGGCCACGTGAGCCTCGTGGCTCTCGCGTGCGCTCGGACTGTTCGGCACACCCGGCTAGTCCGGACTTTAGGTGGCGACGCAGTTCAGCAACTCGGCCTCTCAATTTCCACGGCCCCCTGCAGCGTTGTTATGGACAGATTATTTCCGAACGACAGTCGGAGAGCAAGGAGTACACACCTGAGATTTGCAATGCAACATTGTCACCCGCAATACTTGCGAAGCAAGACGGAGCACCGACGGTGAGCGGACCTTCGCGTCTCGTATCTGAACGTTGTCGGCGGCCAGACCAAACCCTGAGAATCCCCGGAAGTATAGCTTCCCAAAAATGCCGAGGAGCCATTCACCGGCATACTGCGCAACATTGGGAGCTTCTCTGATGGAGAAATCCCTCAAGTATCCGGCACCGATGATACCAGCCGACGGATTGAAAACGACGTAACACCTTGATGTGTGCTTTTTCCCGGACGTAAGCGCGGTGAGCTCCGACGTTGATAGTAGGGTAATGGGAGCAGGTAAGGGAACGTACCGAGATATCCCCTTTCGTAGGCACTAGACGCTCATTCGGCGATTCTGCTTCCACCCCAAAGAGACGTGCGCATATCGACGATTCGAGGAGTCTCCAATGCGAGGGTCATCTGTCACTTCTGACCCCAAGGAAGATGGGGGAGTGTGGGACACCAACTCTATGCTTGTAGGCGGAATGTGATTCCGACTCTCATGAGATACCGCATCCTCGGGAAAGCTCGAGGTGAGTTTGTGCTCCGCCACATCTGAGGCGTCAACAACAGCTACATGAGTGCAGTTAGTCACTAACGTAGTAGTCAGCATAGCATGCTTCGACTAAGAGAGATGTAGACGCACATACCTACACTCACGTGGGGGCAACGTACCTCGATGCTTCCCATAATCCTGCGAGACTCTGTTCGATTGAGGTTCGATCACGGAAGTTACCCCACACCAGGAGATCTGCGTCTAAGCCAATGACCCTCGGCCTCCTCTGCGCACCCAAACCCGTCAGATAGTCGCACGGAGAAACGCAGTGGTGTCCTGCATTTTGGATAAAACGATGAGACGAGGGTCAGTACGTCACCGTGACTATCGTCTCTCTACGACTCTATAAAACTGGCTCTGTTACGTATTCAATGCATTCAGTAGACTTATACTCATTCACGGCTAGGTCAACAGCCCGTTCCGTCCGGTGTAGGATGACTAGGTAGTCTTGTCCTGAAGTAAACAGACGAGGGTTGATGGATGTAAGGAACGACGGTTCGCATGCTCTCTGGAACGACTCACCCACTTTCCAGAGCCCAATCAACCATTGCACGAGTTGATGACACAATTCAATCACACCAGTCATACCCAAGTTTGTAACGAGGCGGACACACGACTTGCAGCACCCCATATCCTCGAGCAGTTTATGTACACCCACGAATCTACCACGCGATGCGATATCAGGAAAACACGTCAACTGACTACGCCCAGGTGACATACTGCTCAGTATGATGCGACGATTGACACTTTAACAAGATGGTAAGATAGATTGTGGGGAAGAGGTTGATGGTGGGCGTCGAGTCTCGCTGGCAGCGGTGAGACGACAAGATCTGCAAGAGATCTAGGTCGTGACTCTGTTACATAATGCGGTGACGTGTCACATACTCGCTCAACGACCAGGAGACTTTGCGGTCACGGCGCGACGGTTGTGTTTCGTCTCATTTGCTCTACTAATACTCCGACATCCGAAACCACACTCTACCTGAATCATGCATCTTGTATGAACGGCCCCGACCCACAATGCAAGAAGAATCATAGTCACACTCACAGGGGTGCAAGTCAAGGCTTCCCACAGCATCAATGCGCCCCCTGCTGAGGAAGTCTGAGCATGATTGCGTAGGCTCTTGGCCCAGCTCATCGCCGTTTCTGGATTGTCGGGCTTCACGAAGGGGACGAGAATAGCCTCATTGCAAGCTACGTTTAGCTTATGTTGCAATTCAGGATTGGACAGTCTCGTAGGTACATGTCCCGTTATGGATATGCTTAGTCAGCTTGTAAGTACATCTGCCTCTCGCTGTACGCCACTTGTTCCTCATGCGTTTGCAGAGCTCAGCCGAAAGCAATATACTGTGTTATCGTTCTTACCGCTCCCTCGCGAACTTCAACAGCTTACAGTACTTAGCAACCTCCGGGGACATAGGTGTAAGTTCGCGCTCTTAATTCAGAGGCGATGAACTTCCTTGAAGGTCCGACTTCATGAGTCGATCAACCTACCTCGCAGCCGCTAGCCTTCGTGTCTACATGATTGGGTGGGACGCACCGTGACTGCCTTGTCATAACAGAAGCTCACTCTCTGTATCGCCTGCATTGTCGTCTTTCCCTCCACGGCCTCCTGAGCAGTGAGGTGGCCCCCGTTTGCAAGGGAAACTAGCGTGCTGAGATTTAGGCTTGGCGAGACGCAACTCTGGGGCTTGTTTGACCATGTGAGTAAATTTCGAGACACGTACCGGTCTTTGGGAACCGGAGAGTAGATGCTTCTGACCTCATATCCGCGACCCGCATGGCAGGTAGGATCATCTTGTAAGACTTCCCTACCATACCGGACGGATGGCGGCACATTCGCGGTCACGCGTGAGACGACAGCACCACCGTACGATATAAACGAGTCACCTATGTAGGCAAGTTGTCCCGCAGGCCTCTAGCTAAAGCGCTGTCCGTGTACAGAGTGCATGCTGCGCCGGCTAGGCTCAAGGCAGGTGGTTTCCTGCGGTCAGGTCGGCTGAGAGCTTGTGCACGAGTATTTAATAGCCGATGTGTACACTTCGGAGGCAATAGGCGGCGGTTTCGCGTACATCCCGATGCATCTCACATTCTCCGTGCACTATGTAGTCTACTTCGTCCGCACGTCGTGTCGGGCATTGTGGTGGTGCCCCTTTAGGCGGACCATTTGACGCTGGCGCGGCGATAGGTTCCTGCCACTAGCTGCCGGACGTATCGTGCTATGGTCACTTACAACAACAATAATTCGACTCGTTCCCAGGACATCATCATTGTTGAACCCGGGGGGGCGAAGGCCTCTCCCACGGGTGGCAACGACAGCGGATAGCCTGCAACTCACCTAGAAGGGTTGTTGGTTGTAAGAGGCTTGTTAGAGCGATGAGAGGAGATGTTCGAGTGAACTGAACTGTAGATTGGGGGTACAGAGGTCCCCTATATATACTACTGTACATCTGTGGCTACGTAGTACTATACAGTACATTCCCAGGATGCACAGTCGCACAGAGAA